TTTTCAATATGGGATATAATTTAAAAATATGTGCCTTATGATTTAATCTATAGATTGTGATTAGAATATGTTATTGATTTGATGAAATGATTATGAACTAAATATACAACAAAGTTGTTGAATGATTTTAGGTAAAAGCATAAAGCAATTGGTTAAACTATTACCAATAGAGATATTGTAGTACTCATATTTTGACATGAAACTATGTCTAGCCAACTTATGTTGTAGGCAGGGAAAACATACTAAACTATTTTAGCTAGCACTCTCGCATTATATGATTGGTTAAATTATGAACTACTTGAAGTAACCATTATTATTGATATAAATTGTGCACTATAATGTGGTCCTAACGAGGGATAATGTACTTTATGGCACTATATGAATTGAAAACATGGAACTCTCAATTTTTAACCATAAAATTTAAGAGATGAATAATTAATTACTCTATGGAGAAAAGATAACTAATGGAAAAATATGAAAAACTCTTGCTTGTTGACATTTATCTATATTCATTAGTATTGTGTATTTACCTTAAGAAATAAATTATGAGTGATTTGTACTCACTCCTATGTCTTTGTGTTCTTTGATAACATTATGAGAGCATAATGAGTTTTTGAGCCCTATAATAGTGGTATTTAGCTTTTTTCATGTGAGCTGCAAAATGGGATTTTAATGTTGTTAACTAAACCATAAATTTCACAGGTGACATTATCTATACTATAAGTATGATTGATAATAATTCATTAATTGTCTTTGTTATTGTAACTAATATAGTTAGAGTTGAGATCCTTTTTTCCATGTATTGTGTAATGGTATATCTAGGAATTCAGAATGACTCTCTTGCAAGTAGACTAGATACATAGGAGATATGTTTGTTTCCTATGGAGTGACTTAGGATGAACCCTCTTACATTATGTTATTATGTGTGTATGAGTCTTGAGGTCACTATTTGGACTTGCTTATTTTCTCTTCAAATGTATTACAGTTAAATAATTAAAAGAAAACTAAGATAATAGTGTAATATATCATGCACTGTATTATGTTTGAGACTATTTTTAGTTTCATTTGACTAGTATTATCATACATGAGTAATTAGATTTTTTTAGCCTTACACGTGATTAACACTTATATCATTAGCATATGTTACGAAATTTTAAACTTTATAGAATGCTATCAATTAGTTTTACGGATAATAGGATGAATATATTCTTGATGGTAATAGGACTATCTCAAATAAAATTATAACAATTAACATTATTTTAAATTTTAAATAAACAAATAAATAAAATAAAGTGTTATTTTTAAAAAAAAATGAAAATTGATGATATATTATAAAAAATCTTTGAATTACTTTAAAAATAAAATAAAGAAACTAGACACATAGTTAAATTTAATAATTAAATTACTCTAAATCATATATAATTGAAAGTCGAGCTGAATTTAAATATTTTAAAATTGGAATATATTAGATAAGTTTTTCTAACTTTTTCTTATCTTTGAAATTTTATTAGTTAAATGTTTTTTGAAATTTCTAAGTTTCTTTGACATTTTCTTTACTTAAAATTCTCAAAAATTTATTTTTAATAAAAAATTCTCACATATTAATTTGATTAGATTATCTTAATTTATTTTTTACTCATAACTTGTGATCAAAAAGATTGTACGTTAGCTAAAATAAAGAAAATTTCCTTCTTTAAAATTTGATCACACATCTCGTAAAATCTTTTAAAATTTAAAATTTTTTATATTATAAATTCCTTATAGACCGTGGAAAATTTAGATGAAAAATAATAATTTAAAAATTTTATGTGAAATAAAACTAATGAAAAGATAATGTTTATTAAATTTAAAAAGTAGAAGGATTTAACTCATTCAAAATATTAAAAAGCTAAAGCTACACTTCTTCTAAACTAAATAGGAATGTATTAGAGCTATATATTGATAAGAGAAAAATTGGCAAGTGCACTGAGCCGTGTCAGTTAATAAAGTGAAAGAATGATAAGTTTATATTTTGAGAGTGCTTTAATACTAAATATAAAGAGAGACAGCAAGTAAACTTAAATAAATAGTGGTAATGTTTATTAAATAAACAAAAGATAGTAAGACAACCTATCTTTTTATTTTAGATGACTTGTCTTTCAATAAATATATATATATATATATGAAAAAATAATAGAAAAATATGAGAAGTCCAACTAAAATATTTGAAAACCATTTGAGGATAATAGGATAAAATCAATAATTTATATATGGACAATTCAAGTAATAATCTAACAACATAACAAAATATATATAACTAGAACAAGAAGACAAATTAGAAAGGATTCATACTATATTTGGTTTCTTAAATAAGGAAAAGGACAAAAATTTTAGAACCAACACTAAAATGACCTGCTATTTTATTGACCCTACGTACTACTTATGAAAATGAAATCAACGAAATTAACAAATAGAATAACAAAAAAATTTGATCACTAAAATAAGAAATGAAAAAAGTAAAATAAAGTAGATGTATAAGAAAATATTACATGATTTTAACTTTATAATTTTGCTTAATTTGTTCATGATAATAAGACATTCTAAGCATAACATCAACTTATCATGTGTTAAATTTTTCAAAGTATATTTTCTTTTTAGTCATATGAAATCATAATCCTTTACAATCACAGAATGAAGGATCAAATTTAGTAAAAAATAATTCAGAATTATTATATATATATTTTTGCTTTGAGAATTATTATATTTCACCTAAGACAAATAATTATTCTGTATTCTAAGCATTCTCTTCTTCCTGTATATAGAGCACATATATAGAAGTTATGATTAATATAGAAAAGAAACAAGAAGTAAAAATTATCGGTGCCTTGTATCTATGCAAGACCTATGGTTGCAAATTTACTCGTAACAACCAACTAAAATTAAGAAAATTGAAGAAGGAAAATAAAATATTCAAAGCTTACCTAGATAAGATTAAAGACATCTTGCTTTAGATAAATTTATACAACAATGTATAAATAAAGAATAAAAAAAGAGAATATTAACAAATATAAACATTGAATTCTAAGGAAAAAATATATAATTTTTTTCATGGCCAACGACTTTGGCTCATTTAGCTTCAAGTATCATTCTGAAGTCAATCAAATCATTAAAGGTTTTCTCATTTTTATTTTATTTTATTGATATTGAAACAAAAATATGCCAAATAAAAAGAGAAAAAGTGAAGAGAATGAAATTCATAAATAAAAGATAAAATGAAAAATCAGAAACTATTTAAAACAAACTATACTTGCAATTGATCTGTTAAAAAAGAAAAAACAAATCTGCAGCATACGTGTTTAACTTGAAAATGTACATACAAAATCAAAACTAGAAAAATAAAAAATGACCCCAAAACTACACGATTTAAGTATTTTAATTTCAAATCTATTCTAGAAACCTTAAAGATGTGTTTCAAGCCTTCTCATCAAATCCAACAGCCAAATATTATCTTATCTCTTCTTATACAAAACTTATAAATAAGTTATGAAAAGAAAAATTTATTCAAAAAAGAACATGAAGAAAAACAAGAGTAGAAACAGAAAATAATAAGATTATACATAAAAAAATCTTAATTATTAGTTAAAATTATTAAAAATTACAAAAGTCGGAAAAATATTAAATAATGAAAAAAAATGAAATTATATAATTTTATAGTTTTTAATAAATGATACATAAATTATTATATTTTTATATTTATGTTTGAATAGTATGTTACAATTTTGTCAAAAGCTCTAAATAAAAGTTACTATTTTTTTTTAAAAAAAAGTACAGGGATACGTCTAGATAAGACTGATTTGCGATTAAAGGAAAGCATCGTCGAACTGTGCGCCAGCTCATTTCATGCTCTCTTATTTAATAAGAAACCTTAATTCACTAAACATTGTACATAAATTTGAGAGAATAATCTAAAAGGGTCATTAATTAATTCAATCAATAAAAATTTGAAGGTAATTTTTTTTATTGAAAATTGTGTTAGATTGTATTAAAAATTATAAAAGAGTTATATTTGTTATATTTTTTTGAAAAAAATATATTTTTATTCCTTAACCAGTTCTCTAAAATATAATAACCAAAAGAAAAGTTCATTGAATTGTTCTGGATGTGCTTATCGGGAAGGTGGAATGCCTATACAAATTGATATGAATCATCAAAGGCGTACAAGACTAGTGTTATTTCATGACTGAAGACTGCATTATTGGCCTAAAAAACTAAATAAAGAAATTAAACATGAAGCTATGGTATATGAGTGGGCAATACTCCATCTGTTCCCCACACATTACGCCTAAATTTATGACATATTTCAACATTGATGGCTACTAGTACCACTTTCAGCGTGGAATGTTTCGATCCCCGCATACAATCAATCTAGAATATCCTTAAAGAGGTTACAATCTCATTTTCAGTCTTAAACTTAAACATATGTATTTTGACTTTTAAAATCTGTAATGTATGCAAAATAATTCCTTTATATAATTTTTTAAACTTATCTTTAGGATAAAATGAACGTAAATGAGTTTGAAGTTAGAAATATGTGGGATTTAGTCTTTAATTTTTTTTAAAAAAATTACACATGATCTAAGAAGTAAATCATACGTGATTCGATAAATTAACAAATAAATTATTCTATACATTTTAAGGATCGAAATATATATATTAAATTTGGAGGCTAAATTACATATGAACCAAATTGAAGAATACTAATTTAAATTTATTTTCCTAATATTCACTCGCCGGTCTTTGTGAGCTTGACTTGATTTTGTTATTTAACTAGTCAGGACTTTAGATTAGAGAATGTAACAGAAATACATGCTTCTTACTTTTCCTCCCGCAGACCTATGCAATCAATGAATTTGTTGCCCACAAGGCACGGTTCTCATGAATTCTTTAACCAAACTTTGTACATACTAGCCTTCTAGCGCGCCTATAAAATGGTACCCTCTCTGAATTCCATGAACCAAACCTACTAGAAACAATTAAGCACTTCGAGTCCTATAGAAATTTAGCATGGCATCCATCAAACAAGTTTCAATCCTAGTATTACTACCCATTTTGCTCATTTCCCTCTTCAAGTCCTCCTGTGCTGCAGGAATTGCCATCTATTGGGGTCAAAATGGCAATGAAGGCTCTTTGGCAGATGCATGCAACACTGGGAACTACAAATATGTGAACATAGCCTTTTTGTCCACATTTGGCAATGGCCAAACCCCCCAACTTAACCTTGCTGGCCATTGTGATGCCAGCACAAATGGGTGCACCAAATTCAGCAGTGAAATCAAAACATGCCAAGACAAAGGCATCAAAGTGCTCCTCTCACTTGGAGGTGGTGCTGGAAGCTATTCCTTAAACTCAGCCGATGATGCCACACAAGTTGCAAACTACCTCTGGAATAACTTCCTTGGAGGACAATCAAATTCACGTCCCTTAGGTGATGCTGTCTTGGATGGCATAGATTTTGACATTGAGGCTGGTAATGGTGCACATTACGATGAACTTGCAAGAGCACTCAATGGGTTTAGCAGCCAAAAGAAGGTGTATTTGGCTGCAGCACCACAATGTCCATTCCCTGATGCTCACTTAGACACAGCTATTAAAACTGGCCTATTTGACTATGTGTGGGTGCAATTTTATAACAATCCTCCATGCCAATACACTAATGGAAACACTAACAATCTTCTTAATGCATGGAATCAATGGACCTCAAGTGAAGCTAAACAAGTGTTTCTTGGGGTGCCAGCATCTGAAGGTGCTGCTCCAAGTGGTGGTTTTATTCCCTCTGATGTGTTGATTTCGCAGGTTCTTCCTTCCATCAAGAGTTCTCCCAAGTATGGTGGAGTCATGATCTGGGACAGATTCAACGATGCTCAAAGTGGATACAGTAATGCTATTAAGGGAAGTGTGTAAGTGTTTCATTAATTAGTTTGACGTTATCAAGTGATTTATAGTATCTTTGGAATAAGTAGCACGTCGGTGGGTTTTGTACTTACATATTGAGTGCTATGCATATGTAACAGGTATACGTAATAAAATACTTTCTTTTGTTATTGGATATATATACGTACGTACATATATATATATATATATATATAATACTATTAGGAGTTTTATCATATTTGGTAAATGTTTATTATTATACGAGACAAATAATTAAAGTCATCTTTTAAGAATTATCAAAGTAATTCATTATATTGAAGTTTACAACTCGGGAATTGAACAAAATTAATATACCGAACCGTTATGAATCCAAAATTTGATAATAATCAAATTTAGAGTTAAAACTTGAATTTAAAGAAAACTTCAATTCAAACCAAATGGTTATATGAAAATTTTTATATATTTGATTAACATAAAATTAATTAAATTTAAAATTTTCTAATATTTAATTAAAATATATTAATTTCTGTACTATTTAATTAATTTTAATAATTTAAAATTAATTTACACACTTTAAATGAATAAAAATAAATCAATTATTTCTTAATTGAAATTAGAATAATATCTTTAATTTATAAAATTAAATAAATTAAAATAAAGCTTCAAATTGAGAATCAACGTTGAGAATTGATTTTTAAGAGTGTTGCGCTTCTAATTCTTAAATTACATAATAAAAATTAATAAAAATTATTCTTTCATAAGGAAAAAGTACAAAAGTATAAAGTTTAGAGTATAGAAGAAAAAATATAAAAATTAAAAAGAAATTAAATTTGTTTATATGTGTATTCCTTTTTCTTTTTTCTTCTCTCTTTTTGATAGCTTCAAAATTTTAAAAATAAAAAAGTAATCAAAATCTTAAAAATTCTAATTCTAATTATGATAATAAAAATATAAAAAATCAGATTGTATTGAATTTGAAATTTGAAAAGACATTATACTTTGAAGGAAAAAGATATTTTAAATGATAACTACCTAATCTCCTATAGTAAACTTGTAATTTTCTTATTTATTTTGACTCAAAATTTATTTTTATTTAGCTTTGTAGTCTAAAGATAAATTAAAATCTTAGGTGTTGACTTTTAAATATCACTTAAATGAGTTCAATCACATATCTATAGATCCAGATAAGGCCTAAACATTACATGCTGATCAAAAATTTATGTTTGCCTTCTTTCTCTTCCAGTTTAAGCTCGATTTTAGGTGTGAACGTTAGGATTCAAATTCTAATTTCTTCATGAGAGTTGTAAGCCTATTTTTTTAGCTTTCCTAATCAATGTCAAAATATATTTATACTAAAATAATTAAATTAATGTCTATCCAAAACTCAAACAACAAAAGTAGTTTAAATCAATTTAATTATGAACAAAAGAATGTTAATGTACCAAATATGAAGATATATATATATATATATATATATATATATATATATATAAATCTAATTTATCATTATACAATAATTTTTAAAAAATAATTATATACAATAAATCTATTTGATAAATGTTTATAATATTAAATAATTCAATTAATGACTTATATATTAATAAATATGATCTAATTTGAATAATTTTTTTAATTAGTCTTTATAAGAGACAAATAAAGTAATAACATGAATTAAAGTTTATTTTATAAGTTAAAATTAATTTATATTTCTTTAGAATTCTCTAGAAAAAAAGTTCAAGAACTTCAAGTAAGTTTCTTATATATTCTATGAATTTTTCATTTATATTGAAGTATATTTTCTCCACCACTTTCTTTCCTTTTTCTCAATTCATCATTCATATCCTTAGAAGTTTATCATCTCCAACCAAGAACAACCTCTTTCCTCTCCACCTTTCTTCTTCTTCTTCTCTCTCAACTCACATTCCTAACTATGAAAACTTTTCTCTCTTAAGTATGAAAGTTTCTCCTCCTCAACCAATTATCTCAACTTTGGCCTTAACCAAACTTGTCGTTGTCCAATAAACTCAAACCCTAGAATCTAAAGTTTTTAAATTTTAGACCTTTTTGCCTTTTTTAATAAAAAAAAATCATTTCTTTTTAGTTAGAAAAATTTATTTTCTTTCTCTTTTTGGTAGCAAGTAGTCTAAATTACACCAAATAATGACAATTTTTATTTATTTGAGTTGTAATTTTTATTTGTAAAATTTATTTTTATTTTAATATTAATAATAAATTATCTCTATAAATTATCTCTATAATTCTCTTTTTTCATGTTATTTTAATATTAATAATGAAATGTAGCAATCCTTAATTCGTTCATATAATTCTATCCCTATTCCTCTTAAAATCTAATACTTTTCCTCTTTCCCTGAATTAGATTAACTCAGCAATCGAGAATTAACCTTGAAACCTCATACGAATTTAAGCAAATTCAATGGACTCCAACTCCTTTTCCTAAGATTAAGCAACCTTAGAAATTAACTTAGAATTTAACAATCCAAGTTAAGAATCTCATTAAAACGAATTAGGGTTAATTAAGCAATGTCCCCCTCATTCAACCATTAATTCAATTCAAAGAGTTAGGAAATATAAATTTATGAAGGAAAGAGAATTATATTAACATTCATACCTAGAAATTCAAGAATCCATGAACTCACTAAGGATTACAAGAAAGTTTAGCCTTCCATGACGGTGAGTCTTACAAATTTAAGATAAAAACAAAGGGAAATCAATGACATCAATGTAAAAATTAAAGGAAAGTGAAGAATAATTGTAAATCAAACCCTAGGATTGGTCCTTAGCTATCACCCAAGGATGACCTAAGCTCTGCAAGTGTTCCCCAAAATGGCAAAAGAATATAAAAGTGCGTAAAAATTGTTAACCTAATTCCCAAAAATCTATATATACTAAATCTGACGCCACTTCATAGTGATCACTCTTGTAAACAAGAGTGAACACGGGCAACATTCGTCAGGTTTCCCCCTTTTTTGTAGTGATCACTCTTGTGTATAATAGTAGTTACTTTGGGCACGCGTAGTTACTCTTACTTATGAGAGTGAACACGCGTAGAGTATTCTAGTTTAATCTTCACTAGAGTGATCACTTTCACTTCTGAAAGTGGTTATGCGCAAGGTTCTTCATCCTGGGGCTTTCTGGAGTGATCACTATCACTCACGAGAGTGATTACGCGCAGGCACTGTGGTTCTCTTTAGCTCTGAACTGATCACTGCTGCTTCTGAAAGTGGTTACTCTGGCCTATCCTTTGGAATCAGCTCCCTGAAGTGATCACTATGGAACCTGAGAGTGATTACTCTTAGTTCATATTTTCTCAAAGAGTAAAAATTCATGGACTTTGTCTAGAATCTCTTGCACAATTATTCAAATGCTCAGAATTGCAAAATATATTCACAAAAATTAGTGTAAATAACGTAAAAATTAAGAAAGCTGTAATATTTGACCTAAATGAGATTTTTATGTTATTTACAATCTCTAAGTCTATTTTTCCTATTAAAACTCTATAAAAAAACCAAACAAAATATCTATAAAGTGTGGGTTCATCACAACCCCAAAGTTAAACCTTTGCTTGTCCTCAAGCAAATCAAAACTCAAGAAAATTGAAGGTAAATGGTTGGATTTATTCAAAAAAATTTCTTAAAGATTTTCATTCCAATCTTAGACTCCAATTGGCACTTCCAATATTTCCAAAATCATGGATCCATTCAATAGAGAAATCATACTCACATCAATTATTTTCATACAAAGTCCCACTAAACTGAAACAAAAATCCAGCAAGATTCCATGCAATCCACACAATGCAAAGAAATCATCTAGCTCACAAGATGGTGTTTCACTTTTCACTCATTAGTATTTTAGGCTAAGTATTTTCCCTTAATTCATGCATTTTGCCTCACCCTACCATATGCTTACCCATATTCTCAATCTCCTTTGCCTAGATACAATGAATCACCTATCATGAGCGCTTAATTGGCTACAAATGAGGTTAGGTTAGGTTCAAATTTGATCAAGGAGGGACAAAAGCTCAAGTGGATATTTCAAGAAAAAGGAAATTCTTTTGAGTGAGTGAATACAACAACTTAGAGTGGAATGCATCAAATGATGCAACAATTGAGATTCAAGCATTCTTTCACCATATTCTTCATTATTTTGCCTTATGTGGGAGTTCTTTTTCTATTACAACAACTTGATGTATTTTTCTTTTTCTTTCTCTTTCATTCATCATCATTCATTTTCATTTTCTTTATGGACTTTGACAATCATTATTTTCTTCAAATTCAAGCATTTTTGACATGTATATGATGCTCACTACCCCAAACTTAAGGGTTTGCTTGTCCTCAAGCAACTACAGTGAATATTAGCACCCCAAACTCAGTTTCTTGTATTCACTCTTGATGCAACTCAAAAGAAATACCTCTCTTAAAGTAAGAAGATATTTTTGCAGACTAAGTTTAGCAAAAAGAAAAATGTGGAACAAGGAAAATTAGGTGCAAGGGTGGTCCAGGGTGTGTGTGTAAAGAAGGCCTCAATCATCTAGATGAAAAATTGCACGATGCATATTCAAATAAGAAACAAGGTAAGTTCTAGAGGATAGATGTAAAAATACACGTAAAGTGCACATAGAAAAGAAATTTAAGGCCCAATTCTCTACCAAGTAAAAGGTGATAATTACTTAGCAGTATGTGAGTACAGTTCACCTTACAAGAAAATATGTTTAGTATGGTAGGAATGGTAAGTATTTACAAAATAAGAATGATTGTAAGTTGAATGGGAAGTGTAATCAAAATATAAAATCAGAATTACAACACTGAACTAAATAAAAAATATATAAAAATAATACAAATGTTTTTGTATTTTATCTATGAACTATGCAGGAAAAACAAACTAAGACAATGTGAAACAGAGGCAAAGAGATCACCCCCCTTTTCATTAATGATGGATTCACATTCAATCATCAAATTCATGCTCCTCTTGGTGGACTGAGGGCATTCTCTGCACAAAGACGCATAGTGGATTCAGCACAGAGTATAATAATGGAAAATGAACTGCGAATAGTATATATGAAAGCGTTAAATGTTGTTCATGGGGATAATGGAGGAAAATAAAGGGAGAGATGGTATTGAAAGCGGTAAAGTACGATAATTACAGGGAAA